CAGAAATCCTACAGCGTCAAATCCCAGGAAAATGAGACTTCAAAGCGCGGCAACTTAACCGAGCCGCCTCATTCAGCGCCCCTGTGAGCGTCCCTAGGATCTGCCGATACTTACGAAATGTGGATCGTACAGCGTAATATGGTATCCCAAACACACAAGCAGTAAATGTCTAAGACAACTCAATCCAAGCAAAATCAAAAGACTCGTGAATAGCGATGAAAATAATTGCAAGATAGCAGCTGATTATCCAGTAATGATCTTTTGAAAGAAATGAACCCACCTCCATTTCCCAATGCCGCACTGTGACTCTTGCACAAGTACACTCATCTCCAACTCAATGATTTCGTTCTGCTTCTCCTACAAAACTCTCCACAGTCTTCCAAAAGGAAAAGAGTCACATATTTTGTGGCGATGCAATGCAAAATTGAAAGGAAGAAATATCACTAACCTGCCATTGTTTATCGCGTATTTCACGAATTCGGCGAGGTTTCTCAACATAACGATATGGAACGCCTTGTGAGGCTTGACGACTGTGGCTCCTAAAAATCACTTCATTGCTACTTTGAAAATAAGATACATACAAAGAAGTCATACTCATTAATATAGATAGAGTTTCTTAGCCTGCATCAACTATTATCTGCCTTCAATTAGTAATCAATACCTTACAATTTCAGTTTACTATTGAAATTACGATGTTGAAGGCACTCGAGCGCCAATCCTTGGAAATGTCAAACATAATTCAGAACTTCTTTGAACCTCCAAAGAGTGAACTCAGTGTTGAGATGTTTTTGACAAAAATTGCAGTATTTACCTATCCAGCAACCTATGCAAATGCCGTAACGCATTGTACGAGAAGCCAAGCACTTTGCAAAGGATTGTGAACCATTGTTCTTCTGATAACACTTTCAACTTCTGGCTCACATCCTTGCTAAGCAGCCCGACTACTGAAGTAATTAGACTGCATCGCTGGCAACAAATAGCCGTTCGCACAGTGCATTTTAACAAGTTCTTCCCAGCGAGTAGATAAACACAGTTCCTGGTAGTCAACTGGTTGATTTATCATGGCACAGACAAAACGAGTTCCTCTATTTTCAAATTTCTCAATTATTGTAATGAATTGAATTAAGAATGCATGCATATACAAGAAGGCAAATAGCATCAAAGCGTGCAGCTCGCAA